AAAATAATTGCAATTAAACGCCACTGTTTTGGTTTTTTTTTTTTTCATGCTGCAATTTTTTTAATGTTGCACGTGTTTGTGTCTCTTGCTTTAAATTCTATTTTGTTTTATTTTATTTTAATTTTTAGGGTGTAGTGATAGGTGATTTATTAGACCGGAATTTAAATTTTCTTTGGGTGGTTGGGAGATATCGTAAAAAGAAGTTACTTTGAATAGTTACTTTAAAATATGATGATTGAATAGTAGAAATGAAAGAATATGGTAATATATAATTAAGGAAAATTATTGTGATTATTAAAAAAAAAAAGAGCAAATTTGTAATGCCAACTAACTTATTAAGTTTCGAATGCACCAAAATATTTGATATATTCAAATTGAAACACAGAGAGAGAAACTAATTTAAAAGAAGCAAGACAGGGATGATGAGATATAAACTTACTTTTTTATATTTAAAATAATATTTAAATACAATATTTTAAAATTTTTATATGTTTAATCTTTAGAAACGTTGATATACAAATTTAATATTTAAATGGAAGTGCACATAAAGTACAAAGACTTTAGAAACGTTGCCCTTACCTTCTACTAAAGTTTTGGTGCTCATTCTTTTGCCTTTTTTTGGTTTGGCATTTTACAGGTAATATTAGACGCCTGCAACCCGACAAACCTGTCACAAAGGCACAAGCAGCTGTTGCACTAACTGGTGGTAGAATGGCTGATGCAATTCGTGCCGAACTTTCTAGACTGGAAGCAGAAGAGCTATCAAGATTAGCTGAAATGGAAGAAATCAGACTTGAGTTGATTCACAGTGGGGTGATAAAAAAACACTGGGAAGAGAAACTGAGTGAAGAAAAAAAACTTGGTCTTCAGGTTGAAAGGGATCTAGAAAGTTCCTTGTTTGAATTGGAGATTGAGAAAACAGCTGAAGATGAAAGACTGGACGATTACATGAAAGAGAAAACAGCTTTAGAATGCCAGCGACAATTGCTATGCAGTCTCAAGAAAGAAGTTGATGAAATGAACCAGAAGCTTGAAAATGAAAGAGTGAGTTTTATGGCTGAGAAGCAGAATCTGGAGAGCCAGCTGAATGATTTACATGAAGGGAAAGATGCTGTCTTTGAAGCCAGATCAGCATTGGAAGCTGAGAAAGAGGCCATTCAAATGCTCAGGTGAGTAAATTATAATTTCTTCCTGTTCTTAGAATTTGTTAGAACTAGTAGTGGCTTCAATTTTGCATACAGTTCTTTGAGATTTTTCTTTGAGCGTGCTTTGGACTTGGCTTTGTTTTGAAGGTGATGATTTACTCAATTTTTAGGGATATTTAGGCACATAGCACTAACATTTTTGTATTTACAAAATTAACACATACTGTTTTTTGAACTACCAAAGCTGTGAATTTGCACAGATTACAATCATATCTATTAGAACATGAAAAAGCTGAAATTTTAGGTTGGATATTGATGGGGGCATCAGCTCGTGGAAGGTTTATCAGAGGCGTGGCCGTCGATCTACGGCCACGATCGAGTCTTTATATTTCTGAGTCATTTATGTTGTTTTATTATTCATGTTTTTTTCTATTTGCTTAGTGTCATTTTGGTTTTTCCGTTTATACCCCTTTAGTGGGAATTGTCGAGTGTGAGCCCAAAGGGCCAATTGCTCTTTTATTTTTCTCGAGTCTTTGTACTTGGCTATTTATAGCCTCATGTTCTTTGTTTTGAGGGAAGGAATGAATGATTACAAAACTTCTTCTTGCACGAGTTCTTGTGAGAGCTTGAGAGTTTTTGATGGAGAGAGATCCCTAGGAGAGGGAAACTTGCGCATTACCCATCAACCTAGATAAGTTGGGTTCGTGGCTTTACTCTTTATCTTCTTTCTCTTGATCTTCCTCCCTTACCGTCGGTTTTCACCCACCCGAGCCCACTTCCTCCCCTCCCCAACCCCACGGCCAATCCTTCACCATAGACCCCTTCATTCTCCCCCAATCCCACTCCAAAACCCCAACCCGAGCCCCCTTGCCGCCGGCCCAACCACATAGCCGTCGGTCCTCACCCCTCTTCCCCACTAAATTCCTTGCCTAATTTGAGTGGACCTATCTTGGGCAGGTTTTGAAAATTCAAATTCATGTAATTTGAAGTTTGGAATCTTTCCTAATTTACCCAAGTCCTATTTTGGAAAGTTTCTATATTGATCTTATTTGAATTTTAAATTTAAATTGGATTTAATTATTTTTTTCCTAAATCCCAAATCCCAAATTAAGTAACTCCAAATCTTCACTAAATCCCCTCTTTCTCTATGGAAGCCGCCGGCCCCTCCTCTTGGTTTGAGTTAGGAATTATTTCCTAACTCCCCACCCTTGCTTTAAGAAATAATTTCAAATCCCCTTAATCTACTCCTAGCCGAAAATTACCTAAGCCTCAATCTCTTAATTTATTTCCTAATCCAAATAATTGGTTTAGGAAATAAATCCCTACCTCCTCTCTCTAGTAGCCGCCGGTCCCCCATACCACACCCGCCTCCTCTCTTTCTCTTTCTCTCCCACTCCCTCTCTCTCCAAATCTCTTCTCTCCGGCAATTAACTCTCTTACTGAACAAAATTTGAAACTTATTTCAGATTTTAGATTTCTATCCTTCCCTCTCTCGCTAGCAAGAGAAACTTATTTCTCTTTGTTCATCCTCAAGAATCCTACCAAGGCGAGTAGAGATTTGTCGTCCATTACTCATGAATGGCGGATCCAGAAACTGATTATGCATAACGTGGGAGGAGGACGGTTTCGTCGACATCCTACAATCTACTTTCTTCGACGTTAATCCAAGGATTGATCACACCGTCAAAGATTACTTGGAGCGTACTTTGATATACTTGGTCGAAGCCATTGACGAGCACTTTGAAGGCATCAAGTGGAGGATCTCCACCACTCCTTGACGAAGGTTTCCCTTCCTCTTTGCATCTTATATCTTTTAGTCTAATTTTTCTTGGTTTGATTGCAGTCACGATGGACCCCTCCTCATTGCTCATGGTAAAACTTAGTAAACGTGTAGGGCTTGAGTGCACCTTTATGCTTTTCTAATTCTCGTTGTTAGACTAGGGATTTTTTTGAACACTACTATTTGACATTGTATTATTTTTTGAATTTATTTTGACGGATTCAAATCTCTTGTTACACAATTTAGCCTAAGCGGGTGTGACCCCTTATTCGTTTTGACTTGTCGTTTTAACTGCTAGAAGTTTTGTTCTTAATTATTTTAATGAAGAGTAGTGCAAAATCTAAATGAATTAAAACATTTCATACTTAGTCCTGCCTAAGATATTCTTTTTACAATTTAATATTTGGTTGAGAATTTAGAAATATGAGGCAGGAGGGTCTTAATTTTGTCAAAATATGGGCATTATGTATGAAAGTGTCCCTACTTTTAATACCAAAATAAGTTCATATTCAGAATTGTAGATAATCAAAATTGCTTATATGTTTGAGCATATTAATATCCTCATTTTTTTCCCTTTGATTATCATAAATAAATCCCGACCCCAATTTGGTTAGGACTGATTCTACAATTAATGGATTTATTTAAAGTGAAAGTAATATATGTTGCCAATCACTCAATCTTTAATAATTTTCATCATGCATGTTCAAATCATTTAAGGCTTCGTTTGAAACGGCTTTCGGCTTTCTTACTGCTTCTTAAACCAGTTTTTTTGTACAAAAATTAAAAGTTTTGTAAGAAAGCTGCTTCAAGAAGCAGTAAGAAAGCCACTCCATATGAAGTCTAAGGCTTTGTTTGTGACAGTCTTTTTGTTGCTTTCAAAAGCAACTTTCTAATATAAAATTTTCTTGAATTAAATTTTTTTGTACTAAAAAGACGTTTTAAAAAGCAATAAGAAAACTTTCCCAAACGAAGCCATTTGGAATGGCTTTTTTACGGCTTCTTTAAACAGTTTTTAGTACAAAAAAAGTAATTCTTTTTATTAAAAAATTGTTTTAAAAAACAGTAAGAAAACCGTCCCGAACTAAGCCTTAATCTATTATTCATCATTTTATCTTCGATAAATGTCATTCTCATCATCCAATATTATTACTTAGAAAAATCTCTTGATGATTTTGTAAAACTCACCCCTTTGCAATCTTATTCAGGACCTGGGTGGAAGAAGAAGCCTGGCATATCAGATCTAGAGCCAGTGTTCTTGAGCAGGCAATTCAGAGATGGAAAGTAACCGACACAGCCTTGTCTGATCAGTAACAGATGCCCTGCTCTTCAAAGATGTACCTGTAAGTGAATCAGTACCTGTAAATCATATCAGTGCAGCTTAAGTAACTCTTACTGATGATTTGTGAAGAAGATAAGCCTTTCTTTAATAACTGCTGTAAAAACCTTCTGGTTTTAGTAGAAATTTTTATCAGGCGTGCATGAAAATGAAGTGAAGTTCCTCTTTTTTTTTTTCTTCCTTTTTGTTATGAAATAAGCTCATTAATTAAGCATCAAACAATTTCTTTAATAAAATGAATAAAATAAAATCTTAAATTCTAAAATAAATCTTGAAATCAAATTTCTTCAATCAAGAGCTAAGATTTAATGAGTATTTCATTTGAAATAATTTTCAGGTGATACTGCGGCATTGAGCTTTATTTTTTGTTAAAATAATTCAAAGCTATAGCGCTAGGGCTGCACTGCATGTTGTGCTTTCTAGTAAAGAACATTATGGCGCTGTAGAGTTGGGCAAATTATTGCATCCGGTTATCTGACTGAGAGATCCGAATATCTCTGTCTACAGTAAAAGTGCAGGTACTGTAGCATACCTGCGCTTTACATGCGTTTTACTGTAGACAGAGAAATATTCGAACGGATCTCTCTGTCAAGTGACCGGATGCAATAATTTGCCGTAGAGTTGAGCGCCGTGACGCCATGTTTAGATTTTATAAAAAAAAATCATTTTTCACGAAAATATTATATTATCAATTCATTCCTCCATCCTTGGGCGGTCGACTAGAGAGAGAAGAGGAGGATTCTAGCAAGAAAAATTTAGGTTTTGGGTGACTCTGTCACTCCTGGTCGTTTTTTGCTGTCAACCTAGTTCTGAAAATTATCCAGATCAAGGTAAGTTGCGTTTTGCCTATTTGAATTTTTAATAATACAAAAATTTTAGGATTTTTTTGATTAAATTTATAATTTCGTAGTGTAAAAATGAGAATAATTATACACTGGCTAAACTTTCACCATATAATTTTTTGTATGTTATAGAGACAGTCATCTTAAACATTTAAGTATTTTTTTTTTTAATTTTGCCAACAATTTAAAAAGTGCGTTATTTTATTTAGTTAAAAATAATATTGTAGTATAATTAAAGCTTCAAAGTAGTGTTTTGCATAATCCATGGTAATATGATGATATTCTAAAATTGTGAAATTTGGCTCATTAGTTAATTTTGTTGTCTACCAATTTATGAAAATCTGAAATTGGTTAATTTACCTTTATTTTATTACAATACAATTATATATATGCTTGAAATGTGTGATTCTGAGAATGTCTGATATTTGGTAGAAGTTCTTGTGCTTAATGTAAAATGAGTCATAAGGATCTGAATGTCTAAATATCTCATATGTACTAAGCATTTAAGAGTCATAAGTGTATTTTTTTATATGCTAGCACAATGAGTCATAAGGGCCTAATTTTTGATATAAATTCTGATTGGAGGTGTATGAGTATGAAGAAAAAATGTTATTTTCAACTCTGATATATAAAGTACTTATTTCTTTACCTTCAGTACTTTTCTTAGAAGATGATATTCAACAAAGATGGATGAGATATTTTGTTAAACTTTTTAATGAAAATTATGAAAATAAGATTGACTATAGTGACCTTAGCACTTTAAATGAAAGTAAAGATTTCTATTTTTATCGGCGTATTAGTAAAACCGAAGTTAGAGAGGCTTTAAAGAAAATGAAGGGTGGAAAGCTGTTGGACCTGATGATATTCCAATAGAGGTGTGGAAATGCTTAGGGCATGAAGGAATTTCTTGCCTTACTAAACTTGTTAATACTATTTTGAAAACTAAAAAGATGTCAGATGAGTAGAGAATGAGTGTGTTAATTCATATTTTTAAGAATAAATGTGACGCATAAGATTGTGTGAATTATAGAGGAATTAAGTTAATGTGTCATACTTTAAAACAATGGGAGCCAGTTATGCAGCATAGATTACGACGTGATACTAATATTTCTCAAAATCAATTGGATTCATGCCGGGTAGGTCGACTATGGAAGTCATACATTTATTAAGAGGTTTGATGGATAAATATAGAGAAAATAAAGAGGATTTACATATGATATTTATTGATTTAGAAAAAGCATATGATAAAGTTCCAAGAGAAGTGCTATGAAGAGTTCTTGAAAAGAAATGAGTTAATAATGCTTATATTCAAATCATTAAAGATATGTATGCATGAGCTATTACTTGTGTTCAAACACAAGGTGGTTTGACCAAGTATTTTCCTATTTCGTTTGGGTTACATCAAGGATCAACCTTAAGCCCATATCTTTTTTGCTTTAGTCATGGATGTTCTCACTAGACATTTGCAAGAGGATGTACCTTGGTGTATGGTTTTTGCTGATGATATTCTTCTTGTTGATAAGACTAGAGAGGGAGTTGAAAGTAAACTTGAATTATGGAGGTCAACATTAGAGACTAAAGGTTTTTGCTTGAGTAGATCTAAAACGGGATATATGGAGTGTAATTTTAGTAGTAATAGACCTAGTGAGGGGATTGTGACTTTGGGCGATCAAGTCATTAATAAGAGTACATGTTTTAGATATCTTGGATCTATTATTCAGAGTGATGGTGAAATAGATTGGGATATTATCAGTAGAATTCAAGTTGGATGGTTGAAGTGGAGGAATGCATCAGGCTTGTTGTGTGATATAAAAGTACCCCTCAAACTTAAGGGAAAATTTTATAAGATGGTAGTGAGGCCTGCAATGCTTTATGATGCTGAATGTTGGCCATTAAAAGAGAAGCATAATACTACGTTTAAGTGTGGCAGAGATGTGGATGCTCAGGTGGATGAGTGACTTTACCCTTAGAGATATGATACAAAATGAGCATATACGTGAAAAGGTTGGAGTAGCTCTAGTAAAAGATAAGATTAGAGAGAGTCGCCTTAGATGGTTTGGTCACATAAAACGACCGCCTTCCAATGACCCGGTTAGGAGAGTAGAGATATTAGAATTGACTTATGTTAAGAAATGTAGAGACAGACCTAAAAAGGCTTGGTTAGAAAATATTAGGAATGACCTTTCTTTATTAGATTTAAACGATAATTTGACCTTTAATAGGACACAATAGAGAAAAAGAATTCACGTAGCCGACCCCACGTAATGGGATAAAGGCTTGATGTTGTTGTTGTTGTATTTATTTACCTTTAGTGTGTAGGTTATTTTATTTTAGCTATCTACAATTAATATTATGACTAATATAATAAAATTTGTATGAATTGCATTTAAATTTAGTAAAAATGCCTAATAAGCGAGTTATTAAAAATTTAGATTGGCATGTGTGACATAGAAAGCTATGTTGACTCACGCCTATTATGTATTTTGTTTCAGGTTCAGGGAAAGAGAAATAGCTTGTTAAGTAGCTGAGTGTTCAGGATTTAATATGCGTGAATAGGTAAATGTTTTTTTTTTGTTTTTGTTTTTTATACAGTCTTGCCTAGTTATTTAATGGTTTTATTTTGATATATAGCCATATACTACTATGTATAAATGATGTATATACATTTTTATGATTAATGAATTGACAATAAATTGATGGATGCGTATTTCCTTTTATTTACTACAAGTTCTTAAAAGCTTTGTTGTTTGTTTTAATTTTTTAAATTGAAGAAATGATATCAGACCAATACACCCGCTGAAAGATGGGAACTAAGTGTCATACAAGACAAAGTGCTACACCATGAGAGCCACCTCTTGAACCATATATGAGACAAAGTGCTAAGTGGCGAGAGTCACCGCTTGAACTTGTAAGGGTCACATCTAGGATCCTATCTGCATGTTGGATGATTCTGTGATAAAGTTACTGACAAGGACGTTAGTTACTTAAGTGAGAAGATTGTGAAACCCGTTAAGTAAAATAAACTAAACTCTTAAACATCGAGAAAATTTTTGGTGTAATGGTTAAAATTTCATTAAAAAACTCAATAGTTAAGCGAACTTATCCTGGAGAAATCCTAAGATGAGTAACCTACTAGGAAGTTACATCAATAGGACAAAATTGTAACGTCTTTAAATAAAAACATATAATATCTTAATAGTTAAAAGTTTGGACTGTTATAAAAGGTCCAACCACAACAATTGAGGATGGCCTGAGAATGATGGTTAGCTATAGTCTAATGCTAATAGTCCAATAGTGGTGCTCAATTAGAGCTTCAACATTATTCAATCATTTAAGCTCTTTTGAGTTTCTAGCTAAGGTTTAAGGCCTCTCCTTCATATGTAGAGTACGTCCTATTTATAGATTCTTGAGAATGAAGTGCCTTGTAAATATAACAAAAAGTTAGAAAATTCCATCATATGATCCTTATTGAATCCCTCAATTATTTATTGTTCTTTCAAAAATTTTTTTGTGCCTTATTGATGTGATAGTTACAATTTGGGACTCATTGGATATGTATCATCTAGACATTTGATTTAACTATAAACTTGTTAGGTTTGGAGATCTTTTGGTCTCCAATTAATGTCCCATTTTGAATTACACTTCAAATGCCTGATCTAGACTTATTTGGATTCAGGAGAGATCATTTTTTGTGTCATTAAGTTAGTCTTGCCAATACGTTCAATTAATCTATAAATTTATTGAAATCCGGGTTTGTATGATCCTGAATTTAATTCCCAAAATAAATATGCATCAAGATTCATATTAGTTCAAATAAATTTTGTATGACTTATCAATAATAAATAATATTAATATTGATGTTTATGTCAATTGTTTATAATCATTTTATTTATAATTAAATAATTTATTGATTTTATATAAAAATAAATTAATATAATTTGTCCATTGATTTGGGCTATTTTATTAAAATAAAAATTTATATATATATAAAAGTCAAAATTATAACTATTAAGACCTATTGTCTTCAATTTATCTGTACTCAACACGAAACCTGCCTCCTGATCTATTTAGATGAATCGGGTTCTGCTGGTTCAGTGGGTCTCCCTAATTCTATGACACTACAGTAGAGAAGACATCAATTCGAAATCTGGAGGGTCAGATGTTCCAAAAAAAGAAAAATCTGGAGGCCGGCGAGGGATTAGGAGTTCCGAGGGCATAGAGTTGATTTTGATATAGAGGAATAGAGAAATAATGAGTGCAAAAATGGCCGCGGCGGCGTTTCTATTAGCTTTCTTCGCCAGCCAGCCACTCCTGGCTCGGGCTGACGTTGTCATGGTCTCGGAGGCAAGACAACTACGAGAAGAGGTACGCCATGGGATATTAATTTCCAACCATTATTCCATTTTGGAATTCAGAAATAGAGTTTTGGATCAAACGGTGATCCATGCTGTGTGAAGTTGTTGCATCTTGCAATTTGTTAGGGTATGCTATATTTGGAGGCGTTGGAGAGCTGTAGTGCGCGTTGAACTTGTTATGCATTTTTTTTAATTTCCGTTCATTCTCAAACTACTACAGACGGTGCAATCCTGATTAGTAAATGTAAGAGATGAAAAATCGGATGAGAGGGGCAAACGGCTTGTATGATCTTACGGTTTTCCTGATGGTTCATATAGGAGATAGCAGACAATCGGGGAGGAGAGCCTTTATAATGAATGACTTTGTTGACGGAAGTTTACACTCGGTTGGGACTGGCTATTAGTCAGTAGTAATAAGTTAAATGAGAGGAAGAATAAGGATCATATAACAATGCAAGTGGCTCAGTCGTATAAGCCTACATCCATTCTCTAAGTAGCGAGCAGTTTCGCTAAGTTGAATTGAAAACAACAATTACAACCATCAATCTATTTCCTCTCTGTTACAAAGTTAAAAGATAGAAAATCCTACTCTTACCCGTAGGAAAAAGTAGGTATATTTATGTGTAGCTTAGCCACTTAGTGGGAGATGACATGCTAACATGATGGATAATGTGCATGAATGTTGTGGAGGTAGTGGAATTCTGGTCTAGGGTTTGTGGCATCATGGTTGAGATGGTAGATTGTTATTGTGATATTATTGGGATGTGGTATAGGTCCTTATAGGTATGCGACCATTACTCCCTCCCAGGAAGGGATAAGCTCGACATATCTTATTTTGTGGCTCGTCGCTTTTTTGAGGGTCTTGAGGTACTGACAAGATCTTACATCCACATTTGCAGCATGGATGATTTTGATTGAGTGCGAGACATGAGGCATCATGATAGCCTTTTTAGTAAAATTTAGATTATTTATGTTAAATATGAGAATGGTGCTCAACAAGCCAATCTTTTTAATTTTTTTTAAGAAGCAGGTAGCTTGCATACTCATGATTGCTTGTAGGCCTACATAAAGTACTTGGGCCAATTTACATGTGCCTTTATGTAATGATTTAAACATGTATTTTTTAGCTGTATTGTGTAATTATGTGCCTTTATGTAAGATTTAAGCATGTATTTTTGAGCTGTATAGTATATTTCTTTCATCATGTTAGTTTTTTGTGTGTAGATCAGTACTTCTTATACCTGCTTTGGGCTAACACAACAGTGGTGCTTTGGATGGATGGCGTACCAATCATACACCATCCTGCGCACCTTGGGTTTGGGTGTTTGGCATGAGATCAAAGCAGGTGTGAGGAGGATTAATCAATTTTTATATGCTATAACTAGTTGATAAACAATTAGAGCATTCTCGGCCAATATACACTTTTAGATTGGTTGAAGTTTAACATAAAAAGTTTGATCTTGATAGTTGTAATATCATTATTGTTTTTTTTTTTTTTTTTAAATTTGAATTTGAAGGTAATGTGTTAAATCATGGGGATCAATATGGTAAGCTTGTGAAACAACAATTCTTTAGAGTTTAGACAAGAGGGGCCTTTAAAATGTGGGCTTGTAAGATAATGGTTGAAGCAATCATCCTCTTCATCATCACATGTAGTTTATGTTTTAATGGTGGTGATGATCTATGTGATGATTATGATGGTGATTGAAGGTTAAGCTATCTTATATTTAAAATTATGTTTTTATGCCTTATTGGTGAAAAAAATCTCATAAATTGTCATTTGCACTTCAAAATCCAACAAGAAAACACTAAGAGATTTTAAAGAAAAATAAAAGACGCTATCCTCAGACAACCGTCAGAGCGGGTTCCTCACATGCATCGAATTGTAGGGTAAATAAGATAAGTGCATAAGACTAGCAAGCCGATGGTCCACCACTGCAAGATTGTCCAATTTCTCCAACAAATGCTTCCAAATCAACCAAGACACGACACCCTAAAGTTGCTTCACTTTGAGAATAAGGATACAGATGGAGTGGCACTTGCGGAGAGACGAAAGAGGTTAGAAGCCGAGACGAAAGGTTGGAAAGAGCTCACAAGATTTCCGGAGGGGATGAGAAAGAAGGCGAATAAAGCTCGCAAGCTTTTCCAATAACCCGCAGGTCAATAACAATTTTGTTCACAATAATCAACTGATTTTCTTCACAATATCTTCTCATATTTATAGGCAAGGTAGGGGAATGCCAAAAGCCACATAACATTAATTTCCACTAGAACCGAAGCACCATTAGCACAGAAATCCCCCCCAATCTTTTCGGAAAACATTCCAAACACAGGAATCGAAGCAGCAGCCGCGGGAGACAAGGAGGCAACACGGAACCAAGGAGCCACAGCCACGGGAATCATCCCATGCATGGAAAAAACAACAGCCATCCAGAAACCCAAGAGGCAAAGCACGGAAAACAGTAACCCCATATTAATTCTTATGCATTAACAAGCTACGGTTTCCCAAGAGACAAGAAGAAAGGGAAAGGGGAAGGGACAAGGCCACTCCAAAAGTAAATCCTTCTTAATGAGATACCTTTAGAGAATTAATGAGCTACTAAACTCCAGCTCAAACAACTAAGAGAACAAGCTCAACACCATATGCTTCAAAACAGCCAACCCGTGAACCATCAGCAGCCAAGGACCAATCGAGCCAGCAAACCAAAGGTCTACTAAGCCTTATGCACAATCTACCATGATCATTGGATAGCTAAAAAAAGAAAAGAGCATAAAATATACTATTGTTCAAATAAAAATAAAAATTACAGAAACATTTGATCGAACAACAATTCTTTAGACAAGAGGGGCCTTTAAAATGTGGGCTTGTAAGATAATGGTTGAAGCAATCATCCTCTTCATCATCGTATGTAGTTTATGTTTTAATGGTGGTGATGATCTATATGATGATTATGATGGTGATTGAAGGTGAAGCTGTAGTATCTTATATTTAAAATTATGTTTTTATGCCTTATTGGTGTAAAAAATCTCATAAATTTTCATTTGCATGCTTGATGTTCAAGGGGGCGTGTTTATCAGTAATTTGTAGTTTTATTTTTAGATGCATGCAAATTGAGCAGCTCCTCTTGTTCAACTTGCAATAAAAAACCTTTTTTTATGAAAAAATAATTTTTGAAGGATCTATCACTTTAATGTAGTTAATGGCATTGTTTTGACCTCTTATTGCAACTCTGGTTTTTATTATTACTTAATAAAAAGTTGCAATTGGGCTTTTCAATTACAGTTAGAATGCCCAAAAAATAATTTATAAAGGACCGTTCTCCTAACAAGTATTCGTGGATCTGATCATCTGAGTAAATATACTAATGTTTGCGACATATACTTATGTTCTACTTCATGAGAACTAGAGTTTAACTTCTATCCACCAAATGGAATTTTTTTAATTGGAATGATTTGAACTTAAACATTAGGGGTTAGACTGTTTCTATGTAATTGCTAGAAAACGGTTCAAATTTTATGTGATATTAAATTAATGAAATGGTTCTTATTTTTTAAGCTAACCTTGATAAATGAGAAAAGTGAATTTAAGCTTGGAAGTCACATATGAAATTTCTTTTTGCGTCTAGTAATATTGATAAAAATTAAAAAAACAAGCATGAGTAAAATTGAAAATCGTTGCAATTTAAATAAATTCAGTATTATATTTGTGAGAAATGAGTTTATTTGAAACAAACAAATTATCAGTGAAATACACTCATTGTAACTCTTTTCAAGAATTTAATTCTAACCATTTAGTGACACTTATGTTGAGACAAACTAGTTTTAGACATTGCTATCAAGTGCCTAATCTTCAAATTGAATTTTAAAATAATTTGAACATAATTCTCTTTCTATTTTAAAGGTAAGAGACATGTTTTATCATGCCTTTGATGGTTACATGCAACATGCTTTTCCACGTGATGAGCTAAGACCCTTAACTTGTCAAGGGGAAGATACACTTGGTGGTTATGCTTTAACTCTTGTAAGAAAGCCATCATTAATCATTTTATTTTGTCTAAACGAGTTCATTTTCTTAAAACTTTTGTTACCATTCATTTCCTTGAGCAGATTGACTCTTTGGACACATTGGCCTTACTTGGAGATCGTGAGCGGTTTGGTTCTGCTGTCGAATGGATTGGTGAAAATGTTCGATTTGATATTGTGAGTATTAATTAGGCTATTCTTTAATTTGCTTTCATTAACGGTTTTATAATTACATTTTATTACTTGTATTTTGTAATGTTTCTAGTTGCGCCTTTATAAATAAGGATTTTGCACTCTAACATGCTATTGTGATAAATGAGGAAAGGGTCAAGGCTGTTTAGGTTTTATTTTTACAAGATTGCCCATGCATGCTACACTCTTTACAGAGGGTTTGGCCTAGTGTAAAAGCTTGGATTTGGCTTGGAGTTTTAATCATATTGCATATAATAGACACACACGTGCCCAGCCATTGAACCTATCATTTTAAGGTGGTTAAAGTTTGATCTAGTGTTTCTTGGTTTAGCTTTTGGTATAGAACTTGATAGATGTTGTCTTTCCAAATTTTTTGTGGTTTTTTGAATTATTAAATTACATTTCTTTGATTTGTTTATAATCTATGCTCTTATATATGTTTGTATGAATGTGCTTATGTATGTATGCATGTGTGTTTTTGATCTTAATTTCACAATTTGAGATGAAGGAAAATGAAGCAATTTGATTTCTCGTGTTTGGTTTTCATTCAAAATGAACTGAATTGACTGACTTTTATTTACATGATTTGGTTATTCAATTTTGATTTATAATGGTTGCTTGGTTGGTTCGACTAGATGAACGAAAACCAAAATTAAACAAAATTGATGGGAGTTAGTAGGTCTAATCAAAGAAACGATTGGAACTAATTGTAGGGCAATTAATTTTAAACTTGATGGGTCTTTTAAGGTTTTTAGTGTGCCAACCATGTGCCATCTATGACATTTCATTTAAATGAATTTGTTAAAGGTGCTAATTAGCCTGCCTTTTTGTTTTTTAATTTGTGCCTGGATTGATATTGGATGTGCTAATTTAAAGCAGTTTTATAAGAAACTCTTTCCCTATTTCAATGCGCATTAAAGTGTATTTTTTTTTTTCTGAAAGTTTGATAACATAATATCTTAATGGGTTACCTTGACACAGTACTTTCATGAAGCTTATTTCTTTCTCATAGTTTGACTTTTGAATTAGTTAAATAATCGGAACATCTCATGACATTACATGAGAAAATTCTTAATAGTTTTGTTATCTTTTAGTTTTGTCTTTCATAGTGCATCTAAAGTGTGATTCTACTTGAAGTCCTAGAATATAATATCTTGAAGGGTCATGCACATGTAGGTTCCTCAAGTTTGGATGAACTAATGTGTAGCTCGATAATTTCAAGAGGTTTCCTGCATGCTCTTAGGGTTCCGAGGTATGTAACAGTTAGTTTCATTGATTAAGATAAGTCCTTGTTTTGACTAAAATGATCGTAAGAAATTCTAGATATTCCAAATATTTGTTCAAAAATGTAAACTATTCTAGGATGGAGAGGATGGGGTTTGTAGGAAGCTTTGATATATGTGATGTAGATCTTTCCCTTGTTTTTTTCCTGCGGTTGGTTCTTTTTTGTTTTTTGTTTTTTGTTTTTGCCCAAAAAGAGCGTGTGAAGTTTTGAGCTTTAGGAGGGATTTAGGTGGGGTGTGCATGTTTGTGGAGTATGTGAAGGGCTATGCATGGTAGTGTAGTATTTCTTGTTAAAGTGTACATTTTCTTGAGGCATACCTATGTTTATTGGTTGACTGCCCATTCCATATTGGTACCATGAAGTCAATGGTCTTGTTTCTTAATGCGATCCATAATTCTAAACCACCTAACAATTTCTACTTTTCTGTGGTGATTTTAGCTCAAATAGTGAACTTGTCAATGTGAATCAAACAGGTTGATTGAACGAACTAATAGTTGTTAGTGCTCCTAAACTCTAGGGAAATGTTCGGATCTTACCAAACCTTATACAAAGTAGGACGGTTAAGGGTTGATGATTACTAATGCAACCTATGATGAGATTTATTATCTACTAATTTGAACAGAAAATCATCGCTTTTAATGTTAAGAAAGTATACTTGCACCTTTCAATCCAAAATATAATCTACTGGCTGCCAAAATATGAAATCCTAGAAAAAAATAATGAATAGAAACAAAATTATAGCACTGATCATTTTCATGAAGAAAACTAGCACATTTATTCTTCACATAATTCCAATCACACTTGTAACATCAATGAGTAAACAAATAATAATAAGAACATGGATAATAATCACCAAAAGAAGAACAAAGCCTCATGCAGATACATGTAGGCTTGATTCTCAAAGTAGTTCTCTACACCACTGAAACATTTGAAGAATGCACATTTAATGAGCTCTCATGTAAGAATAGTGAAAATTAGAATCATGCAACTATTTCACTAACTCTCATTTTTCAATATCTTTTACTTCCTCATGCGTTCTATTTATAATCTACAGGAGGACCCAAAATAAGAAACTTTTTAGAATATGGTAAGCTTCATTCAAAACACAACAATTTCATTACATCATGCATGAATTACAACAGCACAAGCCTTCCAAAACATGTCCAACTAAGCCGACATAACTATAGGACTCAAGTGTCTTAGAAGGAAATGAGCAACTACGGTCTCCAGCTACAGCTATGCAATCAACGAATGGCCACCATAAGGAAGGAACCAAAAATTTCAGCTACAATGCCTGGAACCGAGCAGCCCTATAGAAGAAGTAGAAGGATACTTAGCTATAATGCAAACAATGGGAATAAAACATGGCAACAAAAGGAAATAACAGGAAAGGAATAGCGGGAACATAGTAGATGGAAGTAGAGGTGGTACCGTTGCACTTTTACTGCAATTGACTCCCGGGACTGTATTGCAATTCAGCAGTTGAGCTTGGTACTATGGCATCAGCAACTTCAGGAGGAAAATCTGCATCATTATAGGTCGAATTCTGGCTATGTAAAACCTATGCGATTACATTTCGTTTATTTCATTTTGTATTTGCTGATGTTTTTGAAGTTGTGAAGATACACTTGCAAAAACTGCAAGTCCTAATGGAGCAAACAGTGAATTTCTGTTATGCTATATATAACTCTCATAAATTAAGAAGATGGAGAGGTATTGGTTGCAAGAAGGTTATTAAGTACTCAGAAGAAACACGTTAAATGAAACTAATTAATTCTTTGTAAGAAGGATGCAAAAATAGTCCAGGCCTTTTTCAGCAATAATGGCAATATGCCATTTTGCCATTTTTCCATTCATAAAGAACTCTGGGAAGGTTCCTTGTAGCAACTTTTAACCACATTTATAGAATATTAATAACTAATTATGATTGTTGTTATGAATGTATAGCAATAGGAATTGATGTTTTTTGGGAAAAAATATGATTCATTGTGTGTTCCATCATTTAGGTGCAAATAAAGAATTACTGATTATTAAGAAAAGACATGACATTAGAAAGATATGACCATCTTAGCATCTATAGAATATTTCTAATTCAATTTAGCATAGTAGGTTGATGCAAACAAGCAATATTTGAAACAATTAAGCGAATGTAATTAAATAATAACGCACAACCATCCTTGCTGTTATTATGAGAATGAAGCAATTTCTTTCTGAGCAATTTGCCCGACAAGCAATATCTTGAAGCAAATACAATCATCAGGATGAAGGAATCAGAAGTTCTAATAGAAGCAAAAGTTCCATATGTGAACAAAGAAAGAAAAATTGATTTGTATGGGAGGATAAGGAATCTGATCAGTTAGCAATTGAAGCAACCTAATTAAATATTTCTTTGTGAAATAGAAAGCAACCTTATATGTGATAATAATACATAGCATAACTTCATAATCAGAAGATACAACCATCTCTTGTACTATGCTAATCATATCCTCATATCGATAACTTTTGCAGCTAATCACAACCATCAGCCATCTATGGAATTTGTTATTCCTAGCCACTCGTTGCCTAATGAACTAACCTTATAATACATCAATACTCTTAAAAAGAGAATGCCTCTCTACATACAGTGTGTTATAAACGAGAGTACTATTTCCTACATACTTATTTCTCTACAATGCCTTGCATCTCTATTACTTAATCGTGGTATCATAGCTTTCATGCCAACAACATTCTCTCAGTCTTAACCTATGCCTCTTTGTTGGTCCACTAATTAGTCTTCCCATCTATCACCCAATATGGGTTACTCAACCACAAATATAAGCAATACGTTCACTTAAACAACCCTCAACGTCAACCGCATCTCACCTTAACTTACTGATGGCTAACATTAAGGACATGAGAATCATCCATTGTGGATATCTCAACTACTCAAAAGTATTTTGAGCCAATGGTTTCGTTGGACATCTCGATGGGTCAATCCCATGTCCAACAAAACAAATCACATAGGAAGACAGGCTCCATCCTTCCCAACCCACATTATGCCATTTGAATTCTCATTGACCAATATCTGGCAGTGGCACTACTTGGTCATCTCCCCACTACTTCATCCCAACGTTTAACTTTAGACTCATGTGTCAAAATTTGGACCATTGTTGAAAGACTAAATGAACTCTATATATCCATGCAAGAGCAAACTATGATGCAATATTTCTCTACAATCAAATCTAAGGTCAATTCCATAGCAATTGCTGGCTCATTCCTCGATTTTGAGGACATCATCCTCTACACACTAAAAAGTCTGCCTCTTATGTACCCGGCCTTCAAGTCGATCATTCACAAAAATCTACAACCTCTTAGCCTTTATGTCCTCGTCATTACTATGTAGTGAGGAGATAAACTTACAAACCGAAATAGCTCCTGAGCTTCACGCTGTCCACACCAAGTTGACCCCTCTGCCCTTGAAACAAGCCGACCCTTTGCACTTGTAACAAGCTGAAGCTGTGGGCATGGACTCTTCATTAATTTCTTTGGCAGAGGCAGAATAAATTTGTCTCTTCAAACATATGGTTGATGCCCCTCCTCATGATAGAGAGGTACCAAACAGTCTTCACCGCCAACAATTTGTCAAATTTGTGGCAATATTGGCCACACAACATCTAAGTGTTTGCACTGTCAAAATCTAAGTTATACTAGCTTCCCTCTA